GGTACTGTACAGAGGAAGTGCTCAGCAACAATGGATGCACAAGAATCTAATGTCATTTGGAATGGATTCATCAACAGATTCAACTTTGTGGCCTCAAATCTGAAGAACATCTGTTCTAATGATGCGAAGCTCAGATTTGCTGAAGCTGCAAGAAATCTGTTCTGGACTGTCAAAAGATCTGAACCTTTGCTCCTTACAGATGCTCCTCCATCATCATAAGAAACAACTGAACCTGCATTTGAAGATAATCCTTTGGCCATGACTCTGGTAGAACTTCCTTCTGGCTCCAATGCTCCAAACTCTACAGACCCTATGGAAATTGACTCTGTTCAAGCTCCAGAAAATGTTCAACCTTCATCATCTGAGATTAAGAAAGAACATCCAGATTTTGAGGATAAAATTGCTGCTCTGGAAGCTGGGCAATCAGAGATCAAGTCTTGGATGGCCAAACAGGATAAGAAATCTGAAGACATGACTGAGTGGATGTCAAAACAGGATCAGAAGAATGAAACAATGGCTAAGTGGATGTCAAAACAAGAGCATTCCTCCTCTGAGATCACGGATCTGTTGAAGATGCTTTTGTCAAAACACTCTTAGATTTTCATTTTTTTTCATTCTGATGTTTTTGCATCTGATGTTTGCTTATGTATTTTTTGATATATCTTCTGATGCATGTACTATTGATCTGAACTCATTGAAGGAATCAAAGTTTTCCCCACTGAATTATCTCATTTATTGTTTCCTTTTATTTTTCTTTTTTAAAGTTTTTACATTTTGCTTATGACAAAAAAGGGGGAGAAAATATAGATCTGAACTGTTTAATTTAACTTCACTAGAATGAAACTTCAGACATATTTATTCTATCTAACATTTAATCTGAGTAATTCAGAACATTTGATAAGTACACTCTATAAAAGAAACTCTGAGTCTCTCAGATCATTTGACTATTATCAAACTCTGAATCTGAAATTTGCAAGACTTTTTGACTTTCAAATGTTAAAAGAACAATCAAGATCTAACTCTGAAAATTTCTCAAGACAAAAGGGAAGTTTCTATTCCTTATTTGTATTTAACTCAGGGGGAGATTCATCATCTCAGGGGGAGTTATAATTTTAATATTTTCAATTAAACAAAATTTCTGATGTTTTTGTCATCATCAAAAAGGGGGAGATTGTTAGAACACAGATTGGTTCTTAATAATATCTCTATGTTTTGATGATAACTATTATGAAATTTTGTATTTAAGAATTATATACTCTAAAATTTTCTTGAGAATTTTTACTACAAATAGTAAAGGAATTAACACTCCAGAAGCAAATCAGAATTGAACACAAGAAATTAGCTAGACTCTAAAGCGCCAGATGCATTTATTAGAAGATTTTGATTGCTGCTAACAGAAGATCCTGAGCGTAGCTCCAGAAGGATCTGAAGCAGAAGCTCCAGAAGAATCTGAAGCAAGTCAGAAGCATCTGAAGCAAAGAAGAATTTTGTATGAAGAGTTTTTCAAAGCATAGTTTCTACAGAAGATTCTGAAAGTACTAAAGCTGTCAGTACTGAAGTTCTGTCTCAAATATGCTCTGATTTTAAACACGCTGAAAGCACACCTGCTGCAGAAGACTTTGATTCAGCAAGACTCTGATCATCATCAGAAGACTCTGACCCAATTAGACTCTGATGAATTTGCTGAAATCTGAAGAAGAAATATTCAAAGAATATATCCGTTGGAGTGAACCAAACGTCTCTTTTCTTATTTATGCTAGACACAAGAACACAGACAAAAAGGATTTTTCTGTGCTTTCTTCTTCTAGGAAAGGTCACTTGATGTGAAGACAAAAAGGCTCAGACCTTTTGGACACTCTTCTCAGCGTGAAGCTCACCTTGGATCAGCTGCCTATAAAAGCAAGACTCCACCAAATTCTTCAGTTGACGTTTTGTTGAAAAGAAATCAAATATTCAAGCTCTCATACTTTCATATTCATTCTAAGAATTTATTTCTTTGTTCTAAATAGTTAAGTGAAAAATCATAGTTGTGATAAAGCTTTATAGAAGCAATCTTAAACACTTGTATTGATTTTACATTTGATTGTAATCCTTAAGAAGATCCAGTGAGGATCAGTAGTTCTTGAGAAGACTTTGAACAGTTGTTCTAAGTGTTAACTATTGTAATCAGTTAATTTAATTGTGGATTAAGTCCTTGATTGAGAAAGACAAATCACTATAGGAAGGGTGGACTGAAGTAGTTAAGTTCAACGAACCAGGATAAAAATACTTGAGTTTTTATTTCTAAGTTTTAATCTTTCATACTTATTCACCCCCCCCCCCCTTCTAAGTATTATCTCACCTTCAATCATTAACTCAAATCACCTAAAATGAATTGAACAATTCACGTTAAAGATAGATTTGAATTGATGAATGTTTATACAACTTCATCTAGACCCTAAGTCCAATGAATTTTAAGAGGATAATGAACTTTAAAAGTGTATTTCAAGGCCAAAATCAAAAGAAAATGAAAAAAGGAGAGATGAGAACTAAAACAGTCCCAAAACAAAGTCAAAAAATACATTATGCACTATGCAAATCGATTGAACCAGTGTGCAAATCGATTGCACAGCAGAAAATCAGCAATTCTGGGAAGAAAAGCATTGTGCAATCGATTGCACAAATAGTGCAATCGATTGCACAAATAGTGCAATCGATTGCACACTGACAGACAGCAATAAAATTAGCATTTACAAGGCAAAACCATGATCAATCATTTCTTCAAACATCTCTTGATCAAGGATGCAATTGAGCATGGAAATTCAAGTGAAATAACAGCAAATAGCACCAATGGAATACAATTTGCAAGATCTAAAGATCAAGCAACAAGAATCAACAACAAATCACATTGTGGAAGATGGATCAAGCACAACAATAGTGGATCAAGAAAATCATCACTCCAAATCTGAAAATTCTTCAAATCAAACTCCACAAACACCACTTCAAAGCTTTGACCTACAAGAATTGAGGATGAAAAAGTGAATGGATGAAGGTTTAGCTCAAAGATTAGTAAATTCTAGTGATGAACTTACTAGTCTTTCAAAGGGAGAAAGAGCTTTGGTGAATTTGGTGATTGGAGAAAAAAGAGTTAAGAAGAAATTTGACAAGGTGAATTTGGCTATCAAAAGCTTGTGAAATGAGGCCTCTATTTATAGGATTTAGGCTTGGAAAGTTTGGTGGATTGGAGTTTGATTTGAGAACAAAATTAGGCTTGAAATTTGAATTTGGAGGGAAATTAATGATCAAGTGGTGACTAATGAGGGTGTATGGTGGGAATTAATTGTGATGAGGTAGTGAAATTATTTTTGGGTGATCTAGAATATTCTCAAATAATAAAATTGGTGTCAAATGCTTCAAAATTTGAAAGATGCTGATTTTGGCCAATTCTGTCGTTGTGCAATCGATTGCACTGTAGCGTGAATAGATTGCACTGCTGAAAACTTCAAAATCTAAGCAAAAAATACAGGGTGCAATCGATTGGACCAATAGTGCAATCGATTGGACCAATAATGCAATCGATTGGACCAATAGTGCAATCGATTGCACAATTGAAAAACTTGAAAATGCCATGTTGGCTGGATTGTGCTGGCTCTGGCTCGATTCTTTTGACTTGTCAAAGAAGGCATGGAAATAAACACATGAACCTTGGAGTTTTCTTGAAAATAATCAATCAATACTTGAGAACTCTTGATCAAATGAATTTAATTTGCTTGCAGATCAACTTTGACTTTTTTCAGATGAATTTATTCGAGCTGAGGGACTAGTATTTGATACCTTTGATCCAAATCTTCCTGAAAAAATTAGTAAAGAGAAAACAAACATATATTTTTGGATTTTGATTAAAGGTTAGTAAACATAAACATAAACAGATATCAAACAAGCAAGAAAACAAAGGTGTCAGGTGATCTCTCAAGAACAAACCTGCAGAGAAAGGCAAGAGAATCAAAACTTGCAATCTTGTTTGTGGAATGAGATGCAAATGATATGTGGGATCTTAGGGGTAAAAATTAGGGTATTACACACCCCATATAAAATTCCTTTGGAGTTTGTGAATTTCTTTCAAACAAGCCTTTGGAATCATCGTAGTCATCATAATATAGATAGGGAGGGCTTTAATGACACTTTTAGCAAGTGTAACTCTTCCTGCAAAAGCAAGGTTGCTTCCTTTCCATACCCTAAGTTTAGAACTAACTTGTTAAATAATGTACTGATAGTCTCCTCTTCTAGGCGTCATACCTATTAATGGGACTCCAAGGTACTTGCCAAGCGAAGAAGTTTCTATAAAACCTGACATGTTTAAGAGCTGATCCTTCATACTTCAGCTAACATTCTTTGAAAACAAAACCCTAGTTTTTTCATAACTAACTTGCTCCCCCGACATGGTACAAAATTTATTTAAACACTTCATCACACATTGCATTTGCTTAGCCGTTACTTTTTCAAAACAAATGATCAAATAATACCTTATCACAAATTTATTTAAAACAAATGATCAATGTGACTAACAGAACGGTTTTTAAAAGACTAAAAGTAAATGTTTATTGATCAATAGACTAAAGTAAAACCTTAAATTAATTCTGAGACCAAATAATTTCTTAAACTTTTTTTTTATGATATTTTTTACCCCCTTATCCCTTTTTATTTACCAAAATGAGCTTTGGGATTATTTGATGACAATTGTAATAATAAAATGATAGTTCCACCATGAAAAGGCGATATCTACACTACAACTCCCCACAAAGAATGTTTCTTTTTCAAAAAACTTAACCGAAACTGAATTCAACAACTTCTTGAAAGATTGAAGAATAATATAAATATCATACAATAAATTAATTCACAAATTCCAACAATTACAAGAGTGGACCATCATATCATACGCACCAAAAACTCACATAAATATCACTTCAACCAAGTACCAAGTACCTACAAATTTTCTTACGACTAACAATAATATCTCTTACATGCTCTTCATCCATTATCTCTTCTTCTGTCAAATTCCAATGCCTCCAATTCCTATTTGCTCCTCCAACCATGCTTCTTCAACCTTCTTCTCCTATTCCATTCATTCCCTTCGTCGCTACAACTTCTCCACCACCATCAACGTTTCTCCAATCTCTTCTTTTCGCGTCTTTTGCCAAACTCAATCCAAGGTAACATGCTGCAGGTTTTTCTGCATATATAATAATTATATATCAGTATTATATTTGTTATTTTTCTTATTTGGTTTGATTTCATTTATCTTGGAAATTCCAACATCAAAGTTTTGTGTATATAGACGGAGAAAACTGAGATAAGAAGATTTTCACCATTATTAGAAAGTTCTGGTAATGGTGCTGTGGCTTTAGAGGATTGGAAAGCAGTTCCTGATATATGGAAAACTTCTGCAGAGAATTTTGGTGATAAAATAGCTTTGATAGATCAATATCATGATCCTCCTTCAACTATGACATACAAACAGGTTTTCTTTTTCTCTCTGTTTCAATTAGTGTAGAGTTTGGTTCAAAATAGATGGAACTATTTACACAGAAAGAAAAGGTAGGATGCAATATGTTTCCAACTAATTTTTATATTTTATTAGGTGATAATAAACATTTCCTATGTTTTGAAAATAAGCACTTGATTTAATTAATGATCTTTGTGTGGTTTGTTCTGTTTTATTTTAAGAGATATATGGTTGAGTTTTATTGGTGGTGGGACATAGATATCATATAAACAATTATCTTAGTCTGTTGCCACAATTGACTCTGTTTTTTCCTTTTTTTGGTTTCATACACTTAAACCTGTCATCTAACTTGTGGAATATGAATGTGTTCATTTTCAATCTTTGATTGTTGAATTGTATGTTGTAATTTATGAAGCTAAGATATATAGTAGTTACAACTTATGCATGGTTCATTCTTCGTTAATAGATGATTATAATGATCACAATTTTATATATATATATATATATATATATATATATATATATATATATATATATATATATATATATATATATATATATATATATATATATATATATATATTTATTTATTTATTTATTTCATGTTGATACCCACCCAACATTACGTCATGTACAACATTGAAAGCCTTACCTCAGTTTGGTAAAAAATTCCTTCAACTTGAGTGCGATTCAGAAATTTTTTTTAGTGGGGACAAAATAAAAATAATAATAATAATAATAATAATAATAATAATAATAATAAGAGATAATTTAAATAGAATGTGCTAGTTGAATTAAATGTGTAATTTGGTTAGAGTTTGTTTAATTATTTGTAATAAAAAAACAAATTATTGATATTTATAAATCAACAACTTAAATAATAATAATAATAATAATAATAATAATAATAATAATAATAATTGAAGAATAGAAAAAATATATTATTTTATATCTAAAAAAATAAAGATAGTTCGATGTCTGCTATTTAAATATGTCTATATTTAAGTATGATTTATTTTTATTTTTCAGCTACCGAATACATATTTTTATGTTTATTTGTTCAATAATCATATATAATTTATTTCTCATGTCATTGTACATTTTTTTGATTACATATATCATTGTAGTTTTATTTTATACAGATAAAATAATTTAATATTTTTAGTGGGGGCAAAACCGAATTTTTAGTAGAAGTAAATATAAAAAATATTTTAATTCAATAAAATATAACAAGTTGATATATATGTTAGTGGGGGCACTAGTTAAATATGGATCCGTGCTGCTTGAGTGGTAGATTTGTGTCACGTAAAATCTCTCCTCCATTTTAGCTGTCCCGTTTAAATTTAATAGTTTACATCCCCTTTTATTTCATTTTAGCTGCCCCGCTTAAATTTAATAGTTTACATCCCCTTTTATTTCTCAGCTGTTTTGTATTACATACCCAAAATATTTAAACCTAGTGACTTGTCGAATGATAAGGTTTTTAAGTTTTACCTCTAGGTTATAAATGTTTCTCCTTTTGTTGAACTTACATTTCATATATTTTGTCTTATTTTTAGGCGAAAACCATGTGCTTTTAAAGATCGTCTCCAAGCTTATTTAAATTTTCCTTTAATTCTTCAAGTAGGATGATATCATCTACAAAAAACATGTATCTCTGTACTACCTCTTATTAGATGTGTCATGTGAGTACATTCAAAATTAAAGTGACAAGTTATGAGCTTATGATTAAATTTTGATTCAAACTTATTAGATGTGTCATGTGAGTACATCCAAAATTAAAGTGACAAGTTAAATGCTTAGGATTAAATTTTGATTCAAACTTATTGTAATGAAAAAATCTTCTGTCTCTCTACCCTGCCTCTTCATACATAAAAATCACGACTTAAATTTAAATAGAAACAACTTTACCAAACTTATCTCATATTTTTTTTAGTCTTCATGTTTCATAGGATATGTATCCACATGTTTCAATTTGAATCCTGTGAGAAACTTATCCTATGAAATTTCAGTCAGTTGCATGCTATATGACAATTTTTCTTATAAAAATTTCAGTTGGAAGATGCAATATTGGACTTTGCTGAGGGGTTGAGAGTCATTGGAGTAAAACCTGATGAGAAGATTGCTCTTTTTGCTGATAACTCATGCCGCTGGCTTGTAGCAGATCAAGGTGTGCAGAACTTTGTACATTATTTTCAAATCTCATGCATGATATCTACAGTAATAGTTATTATCTTTCTAATCGCATCCATGCGATGTTTTTAGTCTAGGCATGATGGCAATCGGAGCAATCAATGTTGTAAGAGGTTCAAGGTCATCAGTTGAAGAACTGTTGCAAATATACAACCACTCTGAAAGTGTCGCACTAGCTGTGGACAATCCTGAAATGTTTAATCAAATTGCAAAACCATTTTATTCGAAAACTTCTATCAGATTTATTATTCTACTATGGGGAGAAAAATCAAGCCTTGTCAGTGAAGGAAATAAAGAGGTGTCAATCTATACATTCATGGAAGTCATACATTTCGGGCGAGAAAGTCGCAGGGCATTGTCTGAGTCCCATGATGCAAGTTCGTCACCTGCACATTCACTATGATTATTTATTTATTTTGCGAATATTGAAAATGAACAGTAATCAGGTTCACTATAAACTCATCTACAATGTGATTGCAGGACAACAGTATATGTTCGAAACAATAAAATCTGATGACATTGCTACTCTTGTGTACACAAGTGGTACTACTGGAAATCCGAAAGGTGTTATGCTAACTCATCAGAATCTTTTGCATCAGGTTTGATTGCAAATCTCTCTTAAACTTTCTTGTGGCAATGGTGTACTTAACTATTTTCAGACATGTTTTGTTGCTTTTTAGAGTTCAGAAAATTATAATAAGGCTATGATTCTTCTCTTTTTAACATATTAGGATTGATTTTTTATGTTATGTGTTAATGAATTTCTAGATCAAACACTTATCAGATGTTGTACCTACTAAAGTTGGGGATAGATTGCTAAGCATGTTGCCTCCATGGCATGCATATGAAAGAGCTTGCGAGTATTTCATTTTCTCGCGTGGTCTTGAATATATTTACACTACTGTGAGAAACTTGAAGGTATTATTACTTTTCATCCTAAGTTTCGACTTTCACACATCATAAAATAACACACATGATTTCATTTGATTAATGTGAAGTGTTCTATTTTTGTTTTAGGATGATTTGGGACTTTATCAGCCACATTTGATGGTTTCGGTGCCTTTAGTTTTTGAAACTTTGTACAGGTGACCCAATTTCCCATGAATTGTATGAATGCCATTTGTAAATAGTAACATTTATCATTGTTTATGGTTCTTCTGTAGTGGTATCATGAAGCAGGTATCTACAAGCTCGCTTTTTAGAAAGCTTGTCGCTCTAACATTCATAAGGGTCAGCTTAAGATACATGGAATATAAGCGAGTTTATGAGGTCTGGTCATCAGCTCTATAAATAAATCATATCACATCCTTTTCAGATTATGATTATTTCCAAAAGCTGAAACAAACAGATAAAGAAAATCCTAAAAAGATAACTTTTTTCATAAAACAGTTTGAAACAAACAGGCTCTAATCATAGTAATTCTATTTCTGATCAATGATATGTTAGCAGGGTAAATGTTTAACAAAGAATCAGAAATCACCTTCATATCTCTATGCAATGTTGGATTGGCTATGGGCAAGAATTATGGCTGCAGTATTATATCCAGTTCATATGCTGGCAAATAAACTGGTTTACAGTAAAATCCGTTCAACCATTGGAATATCAACGGTATTGTATTTTGTACTACTATTACTTGTGATTTGGAAATGTATCACTTTTCTGTTCACAATAATCTAAACCTTCCGCAGGCTGCTATAAGTGGTGGTGGTAGCTTACCTTCTCACGTCGACAAATTTTTTGAGGTTTGATATTTCTTACCATTATTACTCCCAAAAAGGAGTTTTATTTTTGGCGTTCTTCTCACATTTTCTTACTCATATGCAGGCTATTGGTGTGAACTTACAAAATGGATATGGTTTAACAGAAACATCACCTGTTATTGCTGCTCGGCGACATGGTTGTGACGTAAGCCATAAATTATAAACTGCATAATATAAAGCCAAGTATTCAACATTGAATTAGTGATATGGACAAGTTAGTGGTTATTAGTCCAGGAGATTCTCACCCCAAGATCTAGGTTTTGTGATTGAGTTAAAGGCATTAACTCAGATTCTAAGATGGTATGATTGAATCATTCATGTTATCTATGCATCAAACTCAATAGTCGTGTGATAGGACTTGGGTGTTATGGGGTGTTCAAAGTCCCATATCAATAGTATGGAATGCTCGGTTGAATATTTAAGTGGCTCGGTTCTTCTCCTTTGATAGCTAGCTTTTAAGGGAGGGTTCCTTAAGTGCTCAGATATTAATCACTCTTATGTATATATGTATAACTTTATAAACCGGTTATACGAGGTTGAGTTAGACCTAAAATATAGGATGTGAGAAAAACGTTGAAACTAACAATCACTAGGTTTTGTTTAGAAATTGACAGGCTAAACGAGTCTATCTAGAGTTTGCTATTCGTTATAATTACATAGTTTGCATTCTTTAAATTAGTTTGTAATTTGAGTCTGCAAAGAGTAGTGTTTTTATCTGATGATGCTTTAAATGCTATCTTTTAAAGGTTATTGGATCTGTGGGGTATCCACTAAAACATACAGAATTCAAGGTTGTAGATTCTGAAACTGGTGAAGTTCTTCCACCTGGCTCAAAGGGAATTTTGAAAGTCAAGGGCCCACAATTAATGAAGGGATACTACAAGGTAATCTTCTTAGTCAAAATGTAAGGGCTTATAAAAGGCTCAAGTTGTGTCAGTTACATGTGTTTATTCTTGTATCAGAATCCTTCAGCTACAAATCAGGCCATAGATAGGGATGGTTGGCTGGATACTGGTGACATAGGTTGGATAGCTCCCCGCCATTCAGCTGGGCGGAGCCGTAACTCTGGTGGTGTGATTGTCGTTGAAGGCCGTGCTAAAGACACCATTGTGCTTTCATCAGGTAGAACAGAAGTTTGTGTATGTTAATCTTTGAATCCTATATGTAGTGTCCCCCCTCAATGTTGACCATGGGTCTGTTCTCCTTATGAAAGTACTAATCACAAGTTTCAATAAGAGAAGGTGAAAATGTTGAACCGGGAGAACTTGAAGAAGCTTCCATGAGAAGTAATCTCATACAACAAATTGTTGTCATTGGCCAGGTGAATTTAAATCTTGATGTCCTAAAAAGTTTATGTTCAAAGCCTACATATATAAACTGTATAAAAGACATTTATAAATTGCAAAAATTTCATTTATTTGGACATATAGGATAAGCGACGTCTAGGAGCTGTAATTGTTCCTAACAAAGAAGAAATCTTAAAGACAGCAAGGGAATTGTCAATTATAGATTCCAATAGTTCAGATGTCAGTCAGGAAAAAGTGACCAGACTAATATATAACGAATTAAAGACCTGGTAAGATCTTGTCTTCTGTTGGTGAGAGTAAAACTAAATACAAGGTCAGAGGTATTATGAATGGGAAACAGATCAAATATTTTCTATTTGAAAATTGAATCTCTCCCCCATTATCATGCAGGACATCAGGGTTTCCGTTTCAAATTGGGCCAATCCTTCTCGTAAATGATCCCTTCACGGTTAGATTGAACACCATAGTACTAATGTCTTTCTTTATATTATTTAATAACAGAATTGACATATTTGGTTATGTTTTTTCTAATAATTACAGATTGATAATGGGCTAATGACACCCACAATGAAAATTCGAAGAGATAGGATTATGGCTCAATACAGGGACCAAATAGAGAATATATACAAGTAAACTTACCATATGCAAATGGTATGTTAGGATCAGTTATAGCTCAATACATGATCAAACGCAGAACCTATACAAGTAAACTTACCTAATGCAAATGGTATGGCACAATAGACTCATACTAAGGGATAACAGTTATACCATTACCACAATAATTAGATAGGTAATAACATTTTATGATATTGATAGCGACTCGTGTAACTTCTAACACATTAATTCTCTCTTTTCATTTAAGATGTTTGTTTCTATGTTAAAGTATACTATTCCTCTAAGGGAAGCTTAAATTACGTTTCTTTCACCAGTTTACACATGTACTATACCTCATTTTTAATAGTGTTGAATGACTATGGAGAATCCTTCCAGCAATTCCTTTTTATAATTGTCACTTACAATGGCATTGATGGTAACTAATTTTCAAATACTACTTTTATTGGCTTTCGAACTTCACCCAAATAGTTATTTTATCTTTTATCATTCCATACTTAATATAGTTGGGGCTAAAACTATATGTTAATGATACTAGCAATCACAAATAGAGGGAAAAAAATAAATTAAATTGTAATATATATTTACCTCTCGGATAACAAACTTGCAGATTTTAATTTAAGAGAAAAAGAGTGTAATTTAAGTTTCATTTTAGGGACAAGATTCAAGAGTGAATACACTATCCAATCGTATAATCTTTTAATTTTTGTGTCTAAATACATGTTATATTACATTCATATCCCAAACTGTATTGGTTCTTTCTTGTTATTAATCTTAAAATTGGATATTGATTTTAAGATTTCAAATCAAATTCTGTAAAAGGACTTTAGCTTAATTTTCAGAATTAAATTGATTTTAAGATTTTAGAATATTTCTAGTCAGTAATCCATATTCATGTTTCTTGATATTAAAGTTTCACAAAATAAAAGCATCTTTGTTTGGTTCAATTGAATAACAAGCTTCAACAAGTTGTTTACATACCTCAGCAAGCAGAAATAAAACAGAAATTCTATTCAACAGAAGAAAAGGTATAATAAAAGAGTACCGATAAGACTTATCTCGCCAATTCTTTTCAAGAAGTACTCAGAGCATTATGCAGGTGAAGGGGGAAAATATAGAATATCAAACAATATTGATATTGAGTTCTTCAATCAGAGTAAAAACTTATTCCTAAATTTTGGTGCTCTTCTCAGTCTTCCTGCTATGACATATGGAAGCAAAGAACATGATCCAACATGAGTTCTTTCACACATAAGTTAACCCATAAAATATTGCAAAACAAGAAGGCCCTTAACACAATTTTTGTCAACTCTTGAGCACATGTATCATCTCAAATGAATAGTACAGGCCATGCATAAGGTTGCATACACCCATAATAACATAGACCGGGCTCTTAGAACATATAAACACCCAACTTGGCCTTTAAGAGCATGTAATGTTATGTTTTGCACCTCACACTAGCATTCTTCGTAGTAAGGGCCGTGGTTCAAATTCAAATCTGTGGAAATTCTCTCAAGTCACCAGAAGTCATTACATGAACAATTCCCATCCTTAAAATGGTGATATCTTTTGAGATCCCGAACATAAATTTCCCTACTAGTTATAGTGCTGATGAGCTTCAACACAGTGTGACAATCTCCACAAACACGAAGATTTTTCACTATACGAATAGTAGTCCCCGGAACAGCCTTAAGAAGCCCATAGGCTAGAGCTAACCTCTCACTATGCCAGAAAAGTTGTCTTTCCTTCTCTTGTTGATCCATGTCATGTAAAACTGAGCTAGTATCAGGAACATAACCCCTTTTCCTCATTTCTGCGTCTAATTTCCTCATCAAACCTAGAATCTCATCTTTCATAGGTTGAGATGCCTCTCCGGCATAAAACACCTGGCTTTCCTTTCCCAAGTCAATGGAGCTATAACCTGGCTCTTTTTTAACTTCCTTGACCACCATTAACTTTCGCACCTTTGAAACATTCTCCCACATACCAGCTCCGGCATATACATTAGATAACAATATATAGCTGGAAGGGTCTTCTGGTTTTAAGTTCAATAGATTATCAGCAATCCTAACTGCCATGTTAATGTTACCATGCTGCTTACAAGCACTGAGTAATGCAGCCCAAGTTGGTTCATCAGGTTTTACCGGCATTGTTCTTATGAGATTCTCTGCCTCGTCAAGGTGTCCCGATCGACTAAAAAGATCCAGTAAACAAGTATAGTGCTGCAAAGATGGTCTAATTCCAAAATCTTCGATCATAGACTTGAACAAAGCACGACCCTTGCTAACTAAACCAACATGACTGCAGGCATAGATCAACCCCACAAAAGTCACCTCATTTGGCTTAACGCCAGCTAAAACCATGTCATCATACAAAGCCAAGGCCTCCTCAGCCAGCCCATGCTGAGCAGTGCCAACAATTATCGAAGTCCAAGAAACAACATCCTTTCTTCTCATATCACAAAATATATATTTAGCAGCAACAAGATCACTGCATTTGGCATACATATCTACAAGTGCATTACTTATAAACAAACAAGACTCATAGCCAAGGGCTATGACTACACAATGCATCTGTTTTCCAAGCTCCCAAACAGCTGAATTAGCACAAGCACCAACCACACTCGAAAGAACTAACGGGTCAGCAATACTAACACCTTCACCCCTCATTTCAACAAACAAGTAAAGCGCATCAGTTGCATTCCCACTCTGAACCAACCCAGATATCAAAGCAGTCCAAGCATACAAATTCTTAAACGGAGATTGACGAAACAATCGTAAAGCCTCAACCTTTAGTCCACTTCGCGCATACCCAGATATCATCGCAGTCCAAGAAATCGAATTCAACGTAAAAATGGAATCAAAAACAGCACGCCCATAATCAGGTAACTCGAATTTGGCATACATATCAACAAGCGAAGACTTAACAACATCGTCTTCAGAGTAAGGTGAAAGCAAGAAACGAGCATGGAGTTGTTTCCCTGGCTTGATATAACCATCACCCAAGTTAGCACAAGCCTTGATAAGAGAAGAGAAAACAAAGTGGTCTGGCTGCAACCCTTCATTGAGAATGGAACGTGAGATGGATAAAGCTTTGTATGGGAGGTTGGAGAGGTTGCAAGCGGAGAGAACAGTAGCCCAAGCAACATGGTCTCGGTGAGGCAATGCGTCAAACAGCTTGAGTGCATCTTGAAGGAGACCACATTTGCCGTATGCATCAATAAGAGTTTTGGGGAAGGGATCGTGCTGGTTAAGACCAGATTTGATGATTTGTGCGTGGAGTTTCTTCGTAATGAATGGGCTCTTACGTGCCAAGGAGAAGAGTTGAGATTTTAGTGCAAGTGCACTGTGAGAGTGAGAGAATGACATTCATCAACTATCAACGTTGTTGTTCGTTATTATTACACGTACTTCGTAACTTTGGAAGCCGCACGTTAACATCGGTTTCGTATCTAAATAGATTAAGAATAGGGAATTTATAAATGTCATCTCTATGTTCTTAGAGATCATATAAAAATAGAAAATTTTTGAAGATGCATATTGGAACGAATCAAATATACACTCAAACTAAATTATTCTAACAGATGTCCAATAAATTGGATTTTTTAATTATAGCAAATATCCGTAGATGTATTTTCGAAGAGTTGACACATTAGTAGTAGAAGCAGATACCAAAAATATATAATTTAATAAAATAAAATTAATATTTATAGAATAAAATGAGTATCCATGTGGATGTTTCAATATCTTCATAACCAATCTTAAAATTGTAGTTTTCAATTCGAGCAGAACTTTTGTTTCGAAACGGAAATACGTATTCCACATAACCCTTACATGTGCATCTTTTGTGAGCTAAAATTTGCTTAACTCAATCTTATCTCCGTTGTCAATCAACAATGAACGGTACTCGAACTTAACAATCATTTGATTGTCTCCGTAAGGTAGGAGATTATAGATTTCATATTTAATATCTACGGCAGAGGTGTACTCGGTGAGTTTAAACTTTCGCTCGGATGTCGAGCTGGAGAATAAGACATTTGCGACATAGCAGTTGATGTTTATTTGTGACATTTGAGACATTTTCAGTTTCTGTAAAATACATCAAATGTGCACCTAAATTTATAGAAACCATAGATCAATATGGACCTCTCAAAAACTGGCATGCTGATTCTGGAGATATATCTCCAATTCCGCACCCTATAATCTTGTTCTGAAGATGCATCTCTAGAACCTCTCCTGAACAGGTTTGAAAACATAACCTTTTTTTTACAAAAGAACAAATGTTGTCATGGAGAAGATCAAAAATGCATAAAGACACAATATGAATAAATGTTGAATATATTACACTTCATTAATATTGAGACACAATTACATACACTCATTTATCCTACTAAATAAGAAATTAAAATGAATGAAACATATGTCGCTGGCTAAATCTATGAGCGATACCCTGTCGTACCTCGAAAAATACGATCCTCGCGATGGACGCGGAAAATACGTTCGAACAGAGTCGCCACCGAACTTTATTCATTCCAGGGATGGAATAGGAAAATATCGATAAAACCTTGAAGGAGATAAGAACATGGTCATCGCAACCAATATTCTAGGTTCGGGAGTCGGTTACATGAGGGGAAGGTATTAGCACCCCTCATGTCCGTTGTACTCAACGGGAACCTCTTAATCGATTCGAGAGTAAAGTTATCTACGCTTGTTTGTTTTCTTCTAGGGTTTCTCCTATAGGGGGAATGTGTGGTTATAAGATAGGGTGCTCGCCAAGGATTGGGGTCCTTGTGCCTACGTATCTTCACTTGTAAGAAGTGGAAAATCAGAGCATTCGTAGTTCGTGGGACTACGGGAAAAAAGAGGGGATTGTGCTCGCCAAGATCATCGCAATCTTGTGCCTACGTATTCTCATGGATAAATGAGAAATTAGAGCAGTCGTAGTTCGGCTAACTGCGGGTAATGGGTTTGAAAAAACGAACGAGTGTTTAGGTCGCATTCTAACTGCTAAACGTTGGCTTGTCTGCTCGCTAGGGGAGACTGGAGCACAAGTTTGTTATGCGCGGAAGAAGGGACTAAACAATGTTCTTTGGTAAAAAGGTATAGGAACCTAAAGGTGGGAAAGAAAGAAAATTGCTCGCTAGGATCATCGCAATCATATGCCTACGTATTCTCAACGGATGTGAGAAATCAAAGCAGCCATAGTTCGGCTAACTACGGTAAAAGGTTTGTGAACGAACGAGTGTTTATGTCGCATTCTAACTGCTAAACGTTGGCTTGTCTGCTCGCTAGGGGAGGCTGAAGCACGAGTTCATATGCGCGGAAGAATGAACTAAACAATGTTCTTAACAAAAGGTGTTTTTGGGTTGGAAATCGCACGAGGGCGAGGGGTTAGGTTTATCGTATTGGATGTTTTGGTTTTGGAAAAGGAGGGTAGATTTTTAATAGGTTTAAGGTTTCAATTGCACGGGGGCAAGAAATAGGAGTTTGGTTAGGTAATTTGATGGAGAATGACGACTATTCGATAAACGAGACGTCGGCCTCGCAATCAATTAATCGGGGCATTATTGGAATGCTAGATTCCAACGACACCTTTTTCATTCGACTAAATTCGAAATATGTTTGAGAAAGTTTCAATCGCACGGGGGCGAGAGAAGAGAGTTGGATTGAATATTTTAAGGGAGAATGACGACTACTCGATGAACGAGACGTCAGTCTCGCAATCGATTAATCGGGGTATCGTTGGAATGCTAGATCCCAACAACACCTTTTTCATTCATTTAATTATGAATTGTATTTGAATGGACAATGACGATGTTTGTCCAAATAATTAGGGCACGTGTTTTATAAACGAAAGGTCGAGCGATCCACAACCTAAAGCGTACGCCCCAAGAGTAGTTACTCAAGAATTCAAGGAGTGCGAGACTCCAAGAACTCAGTTCTTTCGCAATTTAATTAAGAAAATAATTTTGAATTTGACGTATGGTTTAGAGACATACTAGGGTTTAGACTCGACCGTATGAAGGTGAGGAACGAGGTTAGAGAGGTTGTATGTTTAGGAGGAATGGCGACTATTTGATAAGCAAGACATCGGCCTCACAACCAATTAGTCGGGATATCGTTGGAATGCTAGATCCCAACGACAATTTTTTCATCCCATTAATTATGAAATAGTGTTTGTTGGACAGTGAATACTTGTCCAAATAATTATGGAAATATTTTAGAAACGAAAGTTCGAACGACACACCATTCAAGGTGTATGCCTCAATAGTAGTCACTCTCAAATTCGAGGAATGCGCGACTCCAAGAACCCGATTCTTTCATGATTCGATTTAGAAAATATTTGAATAGTTTAGCGTACTCGGACTAGGCGCGCTAGGTATTCTTGAAAATAAGATCGGAAAGGTCACAACTCAAGGTGTGCACCTCGAGAGCGGTCGCTTAAAAATTCAAGGAAAGCGAGATCCGAGAATTTAATTGTTTTGAAATTTATTTTAGAAAGATTGTATAATTTGATTGAGAAAAAATAGTTTAATTTAATCAAGAAAGATAGTTTTAATTTTCATATAAATTAATCAATTGCAAAAAGTTTTGATTTGATAAAAGTTAATCTTTATTAATTGTTTTGAAGAGAAGTTTAATATCTTAGAAATTTTTTTTAACTCAAAGTATAATTTTTTAGAAGTTTAATATTTAAAATATTAATTTGGTAATAATTTTGAAATATGTTTTTTTAAAAAGAATAATTTGAATTTTTTTAATAAAAATATCTAAGAGTAATTAAAAAATATCTTTAAGAAATTTCAATTAATTTAAGTAAAAAAAAGATTTGAAAACCGAAAGACGGAACACCACAACTCAAAGGCGTGCGCCTCGAGAGCGGTTGCTTAAAAATTCAAGGAAGGCGAGATCCAAGAATTTAATTATTTTTGAAATTTGTTTAAGAAAAAAATAGTCTAATTTAATTAAGAAAACTAATTTTAATTTTCATATATAAAAATAAATTAATCAATTGTTTATGAAAAGATTTTGAGAAAAGCTAGTCATACTTAATTGTTTTGAAAAAAGTTTAATATCTTAGAAAAAATATTTTAACTTTATTAATAAAGTAGTTTTGTTTAAGTTTAATATTTAAAATATTATTTGGTAATAATTTTTGAAATATATTTTTGAAAATGACATTTGAGCACAACAACAGCTAGATATAATTTACTAACCAAGAACTAATATTGTTAATTCAAAACAACAACTTGAATATTAACGACGTCACGTCGGATATTCGACAACATTTTTAGAATAAAAACAACCATAAAATGCCTTATAAACAATGATAAATACATCAAATCTCCAGTAGCAACCAAGCCTAATTGAGTGCTTATGTATAATCGAACCAAAGAACAAGGATTCAAAGATTTATCGACGCCGGCCTCAGACACTGAACTTTGTATGAACTAAATCAACGCAACCTCGAGTCTGCAGCAGCGTAATATGTGTTTTTCATCTTGTTGTGGGTGATATTGCTCTACAAATTCGCGTTGTGGCTACTTGACTTTTTGCTGCAGAACAAAATGTTGTCGGTTCCTGCAACCCACAAGTCTTGGCGGCACGTTGTGAAGTTGTCTGCGTGTTGCTGAATGGGGAGGTAGTGGGACTTAACAACTTCGAAACGGCGGCAATTCACACTAGCCATATCTGTTACTTGTGGCGGAATGGTTCAGGTGATAACCAAATCTGCAGCGTCATATACATTAAACAAGTGAAGTTGAACCATAAACGATAAACAACATTTTTTACATAATCAAACCACAATCTGTCAGAAATACTCATACAGTCGGTGAAAACACACACATACAATACTATACAAAGGTAAAAAAAAATGAAGAATCATTCCACTATTGCGCTGTCGGCGGAGATGGTGATGTTGTCTTCGTCGACTTTCATGATTTTCTTAATGCGTGTTAGTGGAAGTTTGTGGTTTTTGAAGGCAACTTCGTCAATTTTTACGGCTGGACATGGTTATTTTTCTTCATGATGCTCAAAGACCTGCAAATCAACAAAACAGTACAAGAAAAATGCCCACTCCATTTCTGAAATGTTCTGTGTGAAGTCAAAGGATGAAAACCTCAATAGTTACAAATTCTAAACCACTGCAAGATCATAAAAACAAAAATCCAAAACTTGATTATTACTTTGATTTCATGTAAACTCGAAAAGAAATTGACTCCAGCAACCTTAAAGATCCAAACAAATGAAACCAAGCAAGGTTTGTACTAAGATGAAAGTGAAAACGACAACTTAACAATATATCGTTTATGCATTAAACCGACATTTAGAACCAAACATGATATGAACAAATTGCAACAACCAAG